CCGTGAACTCATCTGCCAGTTTCCCGGCCTCCTGGGTGTTCTCTGGTCTCCGGTCCTTGAGCCACAGCCTCAGTTTGGGTGGGCACGCTTCATAGAACTGCTCCATCATGACCAGCTTGAGCAGCTCCTCTGCGGTCTGGGCTCCGACTCCAGACACCCACTTGCGGCAGTATTGCGCCAGGCGGGAGGCCAGGTCCACATAGGTCTCCCGTGGCCCTTTCTGTACCCCCCGGAACTTCTTCCTGTACATCTCGGGGGTCAGCCCGAACTTGTGCAGCAGGGCCTCCTTGACTCGGTTGTAATCCCCTGGCTGTAGGTCCTCCAGCTGACTGAGCACTCCGGCCGCCTCCTGGCTCAGTGCGGGGATGAGCTCCTCGCCTCCGCAGCCAGCAGAGCCCCATGTGACTTGGGTGGCCAATCAGGGCCACGTCGAAATATCGAAGGAGCCTCTCTGGAAACACCCCTCCCCCGGGTCCCTGTGTTCGGCCCAACTTCTGACCCCAGAAGGCCTCCCCTTTCCAGAAAGGGGCAAGCAGCTGCCCTCTGGAAGAGGCCGTGTCTGTCTTTGACAACACCTGGCGGAGCTGGTCCCCACTCTGGCACTCCGAGTGCAGAAAGTGGGGGCCTGCAAGAGACCTTCCAAAACCTCCCCTCTCCAGGCCCTGGTTACAAAAACTCCCCCCAAATCCTACTACCCAGAGTTTGGGGAATTCGCTGCCACCATCAAGTGTTTTTTGACCCCTAAACACCCAGGGGTGAACACTCGAATCCGCCCCCGGGGGGGCCCCAAGCTCTTCTGCCCCCAAAAGAGCTTGAAAAAGAAGAGAGAAAACCAAGCTGCAGCCTCTGGTAGCTGACCCCTCAGTCTGAGGCCTGCAGAGACACAGACAGACCTGCCAGGACAGAAGAATCAAATCATCACCTTACGTAAGAACATCAGAGCGGCCAGGCGGGGTCAGACCAAAGCTCCATCCGGCCCAGTGTCCTGTCTGCCCAGAGTGGCCAGTGTCAGGTGCCCCAGAGGGAGGGAGCACATCCAGCAATCCTCACATGCTCCCTCTCCTGTCACCCATTTCCAGACAAAGAGGGGCTAGGGACACCATTCCTACCACCCTGCCTAATAGCCAGGGCTCGACAATACAATCTACTTGCCCGTGGCAAGTAGACTGCAACCCAGAAGACCCGGGTTTGGGCGAGCTGTGCAGAACAATCTGCACATGCACAGATCGCTGGACAGCATATAGATATATATGCAAAATAACCACCAATAAAAATAGTTTCTATGTAGCTAATTTTTGAACCCTGTTAAAGTCCTAGTCTTTACAACATCCTCTGGCAAGGAGTTCCACAGGTTGACTGTGCACTGAGTGTTTTGTTTTCAACCTGCTGCCTATTAATTTCATGTGGTGATCTCTAGATGGTATATTGTGGGAATAAGTAAATAACAGGAAGGGTAAGATGCTCCAGCCCGGGCAGATGTGGGACAATTTGACACTTCTTCCGGCATCGCCGTGAGCTGCAGGCGTCAGCCACCGATTGCACGGGCAGGCGAGAGGTTTCATCTCTCTTCCATACTCGTGTACTCAGCATTTTCATAATTATTAATGACTGGTGATTAGCACAGGCCTGCAGCCACGCTCTGCCTGGCAATGCCCAATTCCTACTGGGGAGAGGCTGAATTTCATTTGCTGCGGCCACACACGCTGCAGTGAGTCCCTTCTGGGGACAGACTGGAGGCTCTCACTCGGCTCAGTGGCACTAAGAGGGGGACGGGGTGGTGTGAGCGCAGCGTCTCCGTGCCCACGGGGGGAGCAGACTTTTGCTAAGAGAGCTCCTCAGTCCCGCAGGGAAATCAATAACTAAATTCAATGGCTGGAAGGGGAAGCTGAACAAATTCAGAAACAAGGTTCGAATTGTTACCCGTGAGGGGGATTCACCATTGGGACAAGTGACCACACGCTGGCCCGAATTCTCCACCCTTGACAATCTTTACATCAAGATTGGAGGGGTTTTATTAGGACCTGCCCCCTTCAAACAGAGGCTGATTTCACAGAAACCCTCTCGCCTGTATTATACAGAGTGATGGACAGGGGAAGTGCTGAGCAGCATCCGGTGACTAAGGGGTTAAACTGGCCAGTGGACCAGAAGAACCAATCGAAATAGAGGGTTGAAATTTGAATTGGATCTAGGTTCCTTGCCTGCTTTTTTTCTGTGGAAGTGAAAAACCAATCGTTGAGAGAGACAGAATGATGTAAACCCTGGTAGGACTGCCAGGCCTCCAAGGAATTTGGGGCATGAGAGTGAACTGAACAAAGAGAAAATTAGAAGTAAGTTAAATGAAAAGTGAATCTAGTCATGTTCAGGTTAATTTTTTTTTTTTAGTGTTGCGGTTTGGTTTGAAGTGCTCTGTGTGAATCTCTGCCTCCCCTCCCCATTTACCATCTAGCATTGTGACCAGAGACTTTTCTCTGTGGGTATGTCTACACTATAGAGTTTTGTAGGAAAAATAGCCATTTTTATGACAAAACTAGAGGAACGTTCACACTGCAATCGCATTCTTCTGCAAGAAAATCGAAAGAACAGAGGGGTTTTTCCGACATTTTTAATCCTCATTCTGTGAGGAGGGGAAGCCTTTTTGTGAAAGATCTCTTTCGGAAAAAGGCGTGTGTGGAAGGGGAAGAGGGAGTTCTTTCGAAAGAAGAGAAAAAAAACACAGGTGCCCTGGCATTCCGGCCATAGCAAACACAGCTTACATGCGAGAGAGCATCCATTCAATCTGGACTCTCTCTTTCGAAAAAGAAGATTGCTTTTTCAATGCACTTTTTCATTGTGGACATAGTCGAGGCCTCGCGATCGACCAGTCGATTGCGATCGACTGGTTGGTGACCACAGATCTAAGCATTGTGCCAAGGCTTTTATCTGTTTTTTAATTTGTTTTTCTTAGATGCTCTGTAACATCTAGCAACCAAGTATGCTTTATCAAGTTTATTTTTCATTTTAAAAAAAAACTTTTTCTAAGGTGATGATTTGATTCTAAAAATGAGGTTTACAGGGTCTTTTGAAAAAGCTTTTTAAAAAAAATGGAGCCTGCAGCTTGTTTTCCTCTTTTCTTTTTTCAAGCTCTTTTAAGGCAAAAGAACTCGGGGTATCCGTGGGGGTGGGTTCAAGTGTTCACCCCTGATTTTTTTAGGGATAAAATCAATGGATGGTGGCAGCGATTCTCCAAAATCTGTGTGTTGTGATACGCGGGGGAAGTTTTTGTAACCAGTGCCTGGAGAAGCAAAGGTGGTTTTTTTTCTTTTCTTTTTGAGCTTTGCAGGCCTTCGCCTTCTACACTCGGAGTCCCCGAGCAGGGAACAGCCCTGACATACAGGGAGTCAGGTGTGATGCTCCCAGGAGTGATTTCTGGCTTTCAAATCTGTGACTCTGGGAGTCACCCTCTCTGATGTGACCAGATGTGGAGCGGTCGGTGTATTTGCTTGCTCCGCTGCCTACTGTTGTGTTCAGCATCGCTCAGTGGGGAAGTACAGAGAAGGAACAGAGCTGGGAGAAGATGGTTTCCAGAGGTCGGACAGCTGAACTCCGCCTGTCAGTGTGTTTCTCCTGAGGTTTCAGTGGAGAATTAGCCAAGAGATTTTATTTTTGGTTTGTAACCTACTTTGCTCGGCCTGTTCTCACTTATTACTAATTAAATCCTACTGCTCGTACTTAAGATAATCATTTTTATTTTCTATTAAACCAATGTAAATAATTGTTCCCTATGGGGGCAACCAGTGTGCCCATCCCCCCTTCCACTGCTAAAGGACTTAATTCTTTGGGGTCTGATCCCAGTTGGGGAGGGGTATCCCAGGGAGCTGGGCCCTACACTCCACTCTCCTTCACCTGAAGAGGTTCAGTGTCTCTGCTGCTTCTCGGTGGGGGCAGGGACCTCAGTCTGGGGCGTTGGCTGGGGGAGACCAGGGAGCTGGCCCAGCAGGACAGGGCGGTGAGGAGCCCCAGAGAGCGGGAAGGTGAGAGGCAGGGGCCGTGTCAGCCCCTCAGGAGGCCCCCCGAGGGCTCATCAGTGATACCCCCCCAGTCACAAGCTCATTTCAAGGGCCCCGTCT